GCAAAGCATTTGAATTAAATTAGCAGCGTAATTAAGTTAGAAATACCCTATCTCCATCTTAAGGCTTTCATCCAATCTTAGGCGAGTACTTGAATATATAATCGCTCATTGCAACAATTTTTTCTTCGTCTTCATATGTTATTCCCATGCTTTTGATTGTTTCAAGTTCTGTTCATCCCTATATTATTGTTTTTTTTTTTTTTTTTTTTTTTTTTTTTAAGTATAATAACTTAGTACCGAATAATTTTTACATAATTATTATAATATACTCCTCTAATTTAAGAGTCTTCCCGGTGCTAATTGCTTGTGTAGAGGCCCGTTGTGAAAATAAGCTAGTGAGCTAGAACTACCCGAAAGGTCCGTTGTGAAAATAAGCTAGTGACACTAGAACTACCCGAAACTGTGGTTGATACAGATTTATTTGCTTTGCGTTTATTAGCTTGTTTTCAAAATGAAGATTTATTGAATTTGCCAATCCAAGAAGCAGCTTTACCAAAAATGGAACGTGAGATAAAGTAAGTTAAATGTTAAAAAATGAAAATTATAAAATATACAAATTAAATTTAATAAATCCTTTTTTTTTAAAATCTTGAAGACCATGATCGAGTCTTCCGATATGACATTCGACGGTGTCGCAGGTAGACTGAATTTTTAAGTTGTTCTGTTCTTGGGTGCAAGATCACCTACTTGTTATACTAATTGTACACATTGTTCAGCGATATTATCGAACTTTATTTTGGGTTCTGTATTAAGCTGTTGTACTAGAGTAAAGCTGGTTGCATTTCTACTGGTAGCGGCTCTAGCGTATCTAAATTACCATCAAGATATGCTATGCTTCGTTCAAGCCTATTAATGCTTAGTTGACGGCTTGGCATCTTTTGAACTTTTGTAAAGCGTGAAAGTTGATTACTAAAATTTTAATAATTAAAAAATCATTCAAGCGAAATATGTCATATTATCTAAAATGTGCAAAAGCTGTATTCAATGCAAACTAAGTGTACTTAAAACTTTCAATAAATAAAATTAAATAATTACGAACATACTTTACATTTTTGAAAAGAACATACCAATCATATTATGTATATCTAAGAAATTTTGCAGAGTTTTTCAAATAGCAGTAAAAAAGAAATCGTTTAGAATATATTCACAGTTTGTAATATCATGCTGTAGCAGAGTACACTTTGATTTGCAATTGTGAATGAATGAAATATCAGGTGATCTTGATACAATAGAAATTGGATGGATCTGATCCCAAGAATTATTACAAGCATTTTGAAGATGATAAATAGGACAACCCAATAAATCATCAAATTTATTGAGATATTTCAGCCATTCCAAATAAATGAATACACAAACTTGATCGTCGTTCTATTTATGTTCAATTATTACTTTGACTATTCCAAATGCAGATTGCCCGTCGTTAGAAAGAGTGGTTTCAACCGCTTCATCAACGTAAAATCTTACGTCTTGATAATCACCATTAGATTCTACTATTGTATAGGAAATATTTTGATAATATCGAATTTTCGTATTTAATAACGCTTGTTCGATTGAAAAATATGAAGAGTATACTCGCATTATACTCTCTAAAAGCCCATTAGTTTCAAGATCATCGAAAACGAATCCAGTACTTTCAATTTTCTGTTTATCCCATTTTGATCTGAGTTTGATTTCAGAACAATTAAAGAGTGAGAAACTATTAATTTCGGTATGATTATCTAATTATTTAAATTTAGTTAAATAATGTTAAATTATAGCTTCTTGAATCACTTAACATTAATAGCAATAGAGATACAGATTTAATATGACTAGATAACTCATACAGGGGGTTCCCCAAAATTACAGATCAGAATGTATCGGAAGCTTGGACGGATGGACCGGAATTGATTAACTTTGCCTAAGATAACTAAAAATTCTACTAATGAAGTTATAGCCCATTCATTAAGTAATAATGTCCAGATGATAATTTTACTATAGACTATGTTGGCTAACACTACTTAATGCCGGCCCATTCTGACTCTGAATTTTGGTTATCCCCTGTGTGAGTTCGACAAGATGGTTTATATTACCTTGAGCAAATTCTTGAGACGTATGTATTGAAAAATTACAATCATCAATACACCAACCTGACAGTAAGTGACGTAATTGTGGGTCAATAATTAACTCTTTGAATAATGGTGATGCTATATTTCCTATACGGTCGTCTATTCCTCTATCCACCAAATATCTCAATGTTTGCAAAGTGTTAACTTGCCGAAGTAATATAAGTTCAATATTGTGTTTGTTTGTATGAGGTACAATTGACTTAAAGATTCTATGTACGATTTCTTTAACACCAACTGCCGTATTAATACATGTTGCATATTGGCGTGCATGATCTACCAGGTGTCGATTTACATGAAGGTTCGGAAGGTTTTGGAAGTCACCCGGAAATAACTTAAATTATTTAAATAAATATAATGATAATAATGTATAAATAAATATAATTCAATTTAAATAAGTTATTTAAATGAATGTAATATAAGTAAAAGATTAATTTGCTCTTTAAAAATATAGTACTTAAATATATAATCGATTTTGTTAAAAAAAATTATAAACATTTAAATATATAATTTAAATAAAGTTACCTCAATAATGCTTTAAGTTCTTTATCTAAAAATTTTTGAAGTTGACAATACCCATGCGATCTATTAATAACTAACGAAAAGATATTTTTACTGGCCCTTGCAGAAAGTCCCCAAGTTCGAATTAAACAATTTTTAACATCAGTTCTGCGCGAAAGATTTAACCGAGCCTTTGTTTCATTTAAAAAAGCAGACTTTATGTCGCCAATTGTCAAAAAATGCTTTAATATGAAAGGAAGTATCATTAAGAGACGTAAGATATCCGACATCATAAACGAATGTCTATGAGAAATCAAATTTGGTAAACGTGCCCATTTTGCCGGAACTTCAAAATGTTTCCAATATTTAATGATATTGCTTTCACCCTGATCTGTTAGAATAAGACAAGTGCAATCAAGAAGCCGTGCTATTTTTCCCGCAACAGCATGATATGCGTCTTGTGGTGTATATAGGTGACGGTCATGAAGGACAGAATCAAGCGGACCTGACGATGACCTTACTCCATATTGTGAAGAAAGTTGCAATCGCGCTGAGATTGTTGGCTGTTCATTTATATTTTTGAATTCCTCATTGGTTATTTGATGGTACCGACCATTGGAATATATATCGAATGTAATATTCGTTAATTCGTTCTCAGAAGCCTTACAACTACGGCATCCAAAATTGGCATTGTGGCATAAGACACCCGCAATATCATTCCCCTGCACAACAATTAAAATAAAACAAAATTAAAATTAAAAAAAATCAATATAAAAAAATTAAAATAAAAAAAAATTAAAATAAAGAAAAATTGAAATAAAAAAAAATTAAAATAAAAAAAGAATTATAATAAAATAAAAATAATCTGCGGTAAATCTGCCGTTACCATAGCTAGTCCACCCGAAATCCAGCAATCAACACCGTTTACATTCATTACGAAACCTCGTTCAAGTTGTTGAACTTCCTCAATAAAAACTTTTATAAAGTCCTTATAATTTCCCCCAAATGGCACTAGTCCGATTATAAAGTAGTTTCGTAGTTGTTTCCTTAGTCGCCATGGCAAATTACCAATTTGAAGATAAACTCCACCTAAAGAATGATAGGTGTTCCTAAATGTGCCAAAGTCATCATAATATAAATCCAAATAAAATTTAAGAACTGGCATATTTGAATTTGTTGGTTTCCTAATAGGTACGCGCTCGGATGGATGTTGGTGGTGTAACTTTATTGAATGAAGCTTCCATCGGCCATTATAATTATATAATATTTTGTTGACAAAAAAGTCAACTTTAGGTAAAACAGGCTGATCCTGAAGCCACACATTGAGACAACAGATTAAATTTGAAGGATCAATAATAAAAGATTCTGTTTCTTCAACTAAGTATAGCTCTTGTGATGAGTGTGAAGTATGTAGTTTTGAACGTAGATATAGTAGAACTTGTTCGTAAGAAAATAATCATTGAATACGTGTTACTATTTTTTTGTCCATGACGACAAAAGACCTGATTCGACCAACTTCAATAGTTTCTAAAGTCAACTGGTATTTAACAAAATCTCCACAATTAAATGAACCTAAAATAAGTTATTTAATAAATTATATTAAACGTTATGGTTAGTGTTGGCAGCAATAAACAAATAGAACAATAGAGCAATAGAATAGAGCAATAGAATTTAGAATAAAATAAAATTTTCAGTAATAGGACAACCAAATTATAATTAGTATTAGTATAGTAATAGATAAATAGAATAATAGAATAATTGAGCAGTAGAATTTAGAATAAAAAAATAATAGAAAGCAATTAACTAATTATAACAACAGTAATAAGATTAATGTATAATACCTTGCATTGTAACTAAATTTGGTAGGCCGAAAAGAGGAGATTCGGCCCAAAGATCCTCCTCCCATAATTCTTCACATGATTGTGAAAAGACACCTGGGCCAAAATATAAATGGGAATTAAGAAACGGGTTTTTTAATATACGCTGAATATGTTCAGTTAAAGAAAAATAATAAGCTCGGGCAGAATCTTTGAATGTTGATGGTGTATGTTTTGTATTTATCGGAATCATATGGCTTTGAATTTTCATTAAAGGCAACCGTTCGCGTTGTTTTTTAAGACTCTGTAAGTTAGTAATTAGATGCTTTCTATTGAATCAGGGATGACGTAAAATTTGTATTAAGCCTTTATATGCCGCAGTTGCTAAAAAAATTATAAATTATTTTATATATAATAGATCATAAAATAAATTACTTATAAAATAAATTACTTACAGATCATGTACTCGGTAATCCATATAAATATAGCCATACTTGTAAAGTTTTCAAAGAAACCAAACGGGCATTCGTGATTCCAATTTATGTCAGATTTGGTCCTATCAAACGTTTTTGGTACATTATTATCTGACTTATCGCTATTCATATTCTCACTAAATTCACTTTCATTATCTACACTTTCTAGATCACCATAACTCAAATCATCAAATTCTTGATCAGATTCTATATTTCCTGTATCATAGAGGTTGTTCCAATCGTTATAGTCCTGGTTACTATGGTCTGTATCGCTATAGTCCTGGTCATTATAGTCCTGGTCGATATGGTCCTGGTCGCTATAATACTGGTCACTATGGTACTGATCCTGGTCGATATGGTTCTGATCAATATGGTCCTGGTCACTATGGTCCTGGTCAATATTTTCATGATAAGACTGTTGATCATCATTAGGTTCAAATTGTTGATCATCATTATCCAAGCTGTTACTAAGCTCTTGTTTAGATTGTTGATTGTCATAATGACTAGTTTCAAATCTATTATGATTCAGGTCATCCGAAAAAGTATAATCGCTTAAGTATGTTTTTTTCGAACGTATGTGTAAGTTGTAAGTTTGTTGGTAAGTATTTTTTTTGAATCTAGTTCTAAGAGGAAACATGAAGCGAATTGTTGAGATAATAAATAGGAACGAATGAAAGTATCTTGAAAACTAAATAATTAAAAGAATAATTTTGAACGATAATGCTTTAAGTATTTGAATGTGAAGAAAAAAAGATCAAGATAAAAAAAAATTTTTTACTTTGTCTTTTATACTGATTTAAAATTGCGTAATATTAATTTCGAGTAGAGTTTGAAAAATAATGAAAGCACTGAATGTGTGGATTTACATATTATGTATTAGGCGATTTTTATTTGTGTTTTGTATCCCGTAATCCTGATTATAAAACAACTTTTGGGATTCTAACAAAAGATATTCCTTGCAAAATTTTAGTATCAACTCTAAATATTTCTAACCTCAAAGCCAACCTTTAACGGGGTTAATTTTTTGTCTTATAATTTATAACACGAATTTGTGAATCAATAAATTAGTACTCGTGCATAAACACTATGTAAACTAATAAATTTCCTATATACTTAGAGATGCTAACAGCTTATTCAACTCTATTGATTAATCAGCTTTTATAATATTAAATATACAAGCAGAGTAAAGCCGTTAGCATCCCTATATGTACTATTAAACAAATTATTGCACATAATTCTTTAAATAGATCTATCGTAAAAATTCACTGTTTCTTTACTATTGCAATATAATTTCTCATGCTATTATTTCGCCAATTATTAGCATTACATAATTATGCACGATTATAAGTGCGTACATAGCACAAATCGAAGTATCTATTTTAAGTAAAATGATCTATATCGATATTTCTAACAATATCAATATGCATTACCATGCAGTCATTTTTTAAGGTTCAATCAGGATTACAGTTATTAGTTATTTTAAGATAGTACCATATAAATTATATGCATTATAAATAAATTAAACGCAATTCTATTTGAACATAAAATAGATAAGAATCTAAGCAAAGAATAAAATAAATATACTAAAGAAAATTCTGTAACCTATTTTTTTTTTAATAGTTACTTTGTTGTTAAATAAAGCATTAATTGATTTCTTTTGGTCCGTCTAATAATTTTTATTTTTGTCCAATAAAATTTTCATATAGCATTGTTATTACTTAATGATATTACAACCTTTCTCGCTCCTCTTTAAGCTCCAATTGATTAGCATGTTGAGAATGACTTGCCGCCAGGAATGTGGTATTAATTGTAATATTATCCAATCGTTTAATAGGATTTAGGACCATAGAAGTGTAATTGGGATCTTTCCCTTTAGATTCTGCTATCAAATAATCCACGTAATCTTGATTACGTTTGCTTATGAAAAGTTACCTATATAAATGTGAAGTATTTTTATGCTTATAATTTTTTTACTTTTATTTTCGATTAGAAATATCAATCAAAATGCCGCCCAAAGCATCATCTTCTCGTAAGTATTTATCTTTAGTTTGCTTAACCCTGACTAGAAATTTTCTATTCTAAAAATTATAGGCAAACTAGTAGCAAAAAAAACACGAACTGTGAAAAAGAAGGTTGACATTACACGAATAGAGTCTGATATTTCTGATCATTCAAATAATTCTAATGACTTACAAAGATCCAAAAGATCACGAAAGTCATATCGAGAGAAGGGTAAAGGTAAAGTAGGTTTCTAAATGGTTTTATGTATATACTGTATTATATAGTCAAAAATTTTATTTTATTTTATTATATTTATTTTAAAAAAAGAAAACCTTGATGCAGCTTTAGAGAATAACTTAAATTCTAATGCCCATATCGAACATCATCAGCAAAGTCGCTCACCTTCAGTAGAACTACAAAGTCAACAAATTTGTAATGAAAATCAGCAAGATCAAAACAAAGCTTCTCAAATACACGACTCCTTGAACCATAATAACAGTATAAGATCCTCAGCATATTCACCTTTTGACTCTAGTATATACCAACATAAAGCGCCACAATTGAATGAAAGATCAGCCGTTTCAAGGGTTCAATCAATTGAACATGGAATCGATTCTTTTACTGAGTGACCTGATAGGTATCCTTCCAGTAAAAATTCCTATTGTTACCTTGCTGATGAAGATGAATCTCTTCAGAAGATGAGATTTTTTCGTCGATTGGTGAACATTATAATTCAAGCTCTTTTAAAGAACCTTATTCAGCTGCTATGTTAAATATGCAAGGATCATCTCATTCAACTGCCTTGTTAAATATGCACAATGCAAAATATAACAATCCTTATTCAGCTATTCATTCAAGTTTGGCAACATCGTCTATAAATGGCAATCTTTTTTTTCAAAATGAAGCACACCTTATTCGGTGGCTAGAAACACGTAAGGACATAGTGTTACAGGTGTTGAACTTAATTTGTTCATCATCGCCTATTATGTCAAGTCAGGTTTGTTATAATTATCCACATTAGTTATTTATATTTTACATATACAGTATAACGATTTCCATATTTTAACATTAGAGTTCTTCGAATGATACACCAAATTTGGCCAAAATACTTTCTGAACAGTTGCGAATTTTATTTTTACGAACTAGAATGCCCATGAAAAGAACCCGTACCTCGCTAATCAAAAGTATTATT